TGTTTCTTATATATATAGAAACAATGAAGAGGATAAAGTCTTCGGATTCTCACAGAGACAAAGACAAAAATGGTTTCAGGAACCAAGAGAAGATCTTTTAGAACTTAAATTGCTAGAAAGAATCTTTTACATGAATGCAGTTCTTCCACCTCTTCGAGTGTTTCTGTCATAGGCGGTGTTGAATTTGTCGACCAGCTCGTTCATGTTGCTGCAGATTGAGCAAAAAATTATTGACAGATGAAACAGAATCCACCAGTCCGGTGAATAACCATATTTTGACAGTTCTTAAGGAACCACTAGTTAACTAATGATGATCATAGGACATAAAAGCCTAGCATGATTGCAATTTTTAAGAGCATTCGCTTGCCTATAAATGTGTTTTCAAATACTTTAAATAGAATGTTGCATAAGGTACCAACCTGGAACAATTTGTAATCATCGCTAGGTAAGTTATTAGTAATTTGTCGTTGTACTCCTGCGAAAGGGAAAGGCCAGCATAAGTTGAGAAATACCTAAGACAATAAGCAACATTGAAAAAAATCAAGTGAAAATCTAACTAACTTACCATCAAGAAATTATCTTTAAATCTTTCTGATTCCATGGCAGGCAATCTTCTTAGCAGGCTAGATACTTGTCTCAGAAGTGAGTTGTCACAAGGAATATCATCTACAAATAAGACCCCACGGGTCATTATCATTGGCATATAAAGCATTAGCTTACACAACTTTTTACTATCTTCCACCTAGAATCCTGGATTGGTAACACGAAACCACAGTGATGAGAACGAGAACTTGAGGAAGAATATAAGATACCTTTCTGCATTGCAGCAAGATATTGGTAGAGCACTCTGATTCTGCTATTAAGCATCTTGATGGCACTATGTATACCAGTAAGATGAGCAGCCACTGCATATCAACGAATAATCAGCCAAAATTCAGTGAGACTGAGGAAGAGGATTATGATAAGTATGAGTGACATAAATGCTCACACTGGGTTGCTGCTGAGCCTCCATCAGATGGTTGGAGATGTGCAACATGATCGACTGATATCCGTTCAGCTTCAACGGTCTGTTTTGCATAACATCTCAAAATCTTAGTCAAGGTCCACTTTCACAACATAGATTAATTACAGAATCAAACCTAAGCACATACCTCGATTGTGTAGCTTGTATGAACGAAAATCAGCTGCGGGATTCCGTCAATGACATGCAATTCTTCAAGTAATGAAAGATTAATCAATGAAAAAAATAGAAAAGTTAGGATCTTTTAAAACAATCTGACCTAATAAATGTAAGAATCTAGAAGTCAATAAAGATAAAGACTTGGCAAGATATCTAAAACTCTGAGCCATTATAAGCTCTACTATTCAGGAAGAGTAACAAAAACATACCACTTTCATAAATAGTCACTGGAAGATCCTTCTGTGCGTGATTGATTGCCGGGTTTAAAAGCACATAAACAGGAGATTCATTGATATCCATCAACTGTCACCAAGAGCAGACACAAAAATCACACTTTTAGAGACCAAATCTCAATCATACAAAACACTATAAAGAGTATCAGACTCACGGCTTTATGGATATGCATATCAGATTCGTCAGCATCACTTCCCGTAGAGTACCATCCCAGAATATAGAAATCAGGGAAAACCTTCTTATCTAATAAACAATAAAACCAAATAAAAAAATCAATGTAATCAAGCAAAATTCAAACTCTAAACACAAATACAGAGAAAAAGAGTGAGCTTTAAGCTTACATAGCTCTTGCTTCTTCTCGAGGAAAGATCTATCAAGGGTTTGAGTCGAAGGATCATATAAAAGCTCGAAACTGTTGAAGATCTCAACAGTACGACCTCTCTGGACGCCGATCACACATCCGTAAACCCTAGGGTTTTGCTGGATCATTGCCTCGCCGTTGTTTGAGCCATGCCCGCTTGCGCAGATTGAAGCAGGAGGATTGAGCTGAGTTTTGACCCTAGTGTAGTGGTCCGATATGTTGACGATTACCAAAGGATGTAACTTGAAGGTTAAACCGCTTGATGACGAAGGTGCCATTGTTGTCTCTTTCGCTCTCGACGATCTCTCTTCGATGAATTCTTTGTTTTGGGGTTTTTTAGTTTTTTTTTTTATTAAGGTTTTTTAATGGGATTTTGGTATAAATGACAAGTATAAATGAAAATGGGTCGGGTTAAAATTAGAAAATTGATCCAAAATTCTGAAATCGGATCTTTGAAATTTTTTTGGAATATAAATTCGAATTAATAATGAAAAATCGAAATAAAATCAAATATTTATGGAAATCAAATAAAATCTGATTGTACTTATGGTAACTAATAATAAAAGCATATTCCAAACAATATTATACATTAATTACGTATAATAAATTTGTTCATATATTTTAGGGATTAATTCCATAACAATCAACGTTTTTGTCATTAATTTCGCTCATTTTAGCCAATTATCATTAATTGAAAGATATTTTACTTGCTTTTAAAGATTTCTAGAAAAAATTTCACAAATTACCCATCTGTTTTATAAATTAAATTGATATTTTATTTTGGTCGTGTAAATGAAATATATTTTTTATTTTGGTCGTGTAAATTAAATAGATATGAAATCCATGTAACTAATTTTAATTTAATTAGATTAAATCGAAATTATGATATTTTCATACCTATAGCTTACCAAAGAAGTTTAATTTTCAATTTATAAAGATTTCTTGAATATGATTTTATAATTATTCAACAAGATGATAAATATTTATTAAATTTTGTGAATCATGAAAATAACAATTAATTTTTAATCATTATACTTCATCTTTCAATCTCTCATCTAACAAATAAGATACATATTCTATTATTACTATGTCCAAACTTCATTTTATTGTATGACTAAATAATATTCCCATTAGAACTGTCAAAGCGAGTTGATTCGTCCCGTTAAGTCCGTTTTGCGATAGACAAAAAATATTTTGACTTGTGGTTAGTCGGTCCGCACGACTCGCGGGTAGCATATATGAAATACAAATCCGTCCCGCGAATGTATGCGGATTTGCGGAATTGTCCATGGATTTTGTTTAAATAATTTTAAAGTAACCAAAATTTAAAATACTACTAAAATAAATAAATAAATCAAAATACTATTAAAAGTTTGTTTAAATTACCACATGTTGAATAAGTTATAATTTTATCAATAAATACTAATATGCGGGCTGATCCGCCAATCCGCGGATGAAAACCGATTAAACCTATGACCCACTGCGAATTAATACATGTGGCCCGCTTATTTGCGGGTTTAATATATTTTCCCAAATCTGCCCCATAGTGATATGATGTGGGCTCGACCCGCGGTTTTTGACCTATTTTGACTGCTCTAATTCTCATGAATCGTCTAATTTTAGAATTTTAAAACACAAAATTCTATTTTGTAAATCATAATTAATACGATGGGTATATTTATAAACAATTTTACATTTTCTCTACAATTCGTTATTATAAATATTTATAAGTATACTACACGATTCGTTCTACTAAAAACACACACACAATATTAAACGCAACGTATGTAAACCAATATTCTCCCGCGGTGGACCGCATGTCCGATCCTAGTTTACTGTAGCAAAAATTATACAAATTGCTACAAAAAGTTTTTTTTTCTCAATCTGCCATTTTTCCACTTTATGGCAGGCAGACAAAGACGAAAATACCCTCAGACGAAAATATCTAAATATCAGATATTTGGTGGACAAAACTTTGTTTCGGAAAATTATGGTAGACAAAAAATATTATCCACATTTGAAACAACAGATTGGAATGATATTTGGTGGACAACAAATATTGTCCACATTTAAAACAACAGACTTTAAGGAAATTTGGTGGACAAGAATTCAAAACGGCATATTTCGAAAAATTTTGTAGACAAGAAATGTTGTCCACATTTGAAACAATAGATTGAGAAGATATTTGGAGGACAACAAATATTGTCCACATTTGAACCAAACAGACTTCAAAGAAATTTGGTGGACAAGAATTCGAAACGAAATAATTCGAAAATTTTGGTAGACAAGAAATGTTGTCCACATGTATCTTCTTCCTTCTCAGATTTAGATTCGCTTCTACTTTCCAAACCAGATTTAGACCCAGATTTTTAATCTCGCTAAATCGCCAACGATGTATTCCTAGATCGAAAACGTGATGAACTCTTATATCTAGAGAGATTGAGCTTCATTTTTTAGAGAAAAAAAGAGAGAGAAAGAGAGAGATGAGAGAGAAATGAGAGGAATGAAGATTGAACAAAAAAAGCTTTCTCTCTAAAGGGTAAATTGGACTTTGCAAGTTGGGTTAGAAATTGGATTGTGACACAATTGAAAAGGATTCGTGGGCTGTGGTAATTTTGGTAAGAATTGCTAAGCACATTTCTTAGATTTCTCTTTTTTAATTAAACCAACTAGGATATGACCCGCGGTACACCGCGGGTTAATCTTTTATTTTATTTTTATAAACTAATGATTTATACATTCGTTTTTATGTTTTATTTGTACCGTAACGTATATTTGATTATGTACGGTTTCTAATAAGATGTAAGTTTGCGATATTCTAAGTGTAATAGTATTTTGTTTTTATATGGTGAAACTAAATTTGTTTTCCATAATTTGTGATTTTAAATTTTTTATAATTGTGTATTATATAAATATTTTTGCAAATTGTATCATTTCTTAGGACATTTATAATTTATAGTTTACAATTGTCATTAAAATACCACGGAAAATTTTTTTGTTTTATATAATCTAAACTAAATCAGATTAACTCGATATGTATATTATTGGCAGTTTTAAAATAGTAAAATGAGGACTTAACCCGTATTGAAGCGGTTTGATAATGATATTCCAAATTTTTTTTAATGTTGATTCAAACATGTCGTCCCACTATATAACTATAACTATGTTCCGTAATATAACCCGTCGACATCTATTTATAACAAAAAAACATTTACGAAAGAGATTTTTTTTTGTTTTGTTAAATTGTTGCATTAATTTAAAGATCTATTAAGATTACGCATCAAAAAGAGTTTATGGAGAAAATGTTGTTTTAAAGTAGGCCCCGGAAATCGGTGGCTTTGAAGCCAAAATATTAAAATAAATAGAAGGTGGGGAATACAGTATAACTATCCAGCTACTGTTATCAAAATAATTACGTGGCAAGAAGATCAATGTACACATAGCCCATTCTAATTTTTCCACTTACGATATAGTATTTGAAATTGTAATAAGAGAAAGCCACTAAAATAAAAAGTCCTAATTGTAAATTAGAGCCCAACCCATTAAAGAGTTAAACGAAGATGAAGGATGATTTTGCTGATTTCGATTCTTTCCCCATCGTATATCCAAGCCTCCACCATCTTCTGTGATACATCTGCCAAGTATGGTTATCCTTTTCTTGATTTTAATCGGAACTAATTTTTCTAAAAATTAAGTCACTTAGTTGATTGATTTGATGATATGAACCGTTGATAAGTAAGCCGGATCTCAGTTCGTGGTGTTCCCAAAGGGGTTTAACGGCATGTATCCTCTTGGAGCAAGCTTTGAAATTCTCGATTGATGCTCGAATGGCTAAGTATCAACATCTGCCAATGAAATTCCTGGTAATTTTCTATTTTCTTCATTTGGTTGATAGATCTGCGACGTTATCGATTAGTCATTATTTCGAAATGGTAGCTTCGTCTTTCAATTCTTAGATTTGTGTTCTTTACATATTAAAAATGGTCACCAATTCCATATAAAAACATTCACAATTATCAGAGGCTTCACATACACATAAAAATCGAAATTGTTTAGATAATAGGTTAAAAAAACTTAGGGTTTGATGTTCTTGAGGGATTGATTTGGTTTTCCACATATAAGAATTAGACCCTAATATTGTGATTCTGAGAAAACATTCCTTGATAAAGACGGCTTTGGGATCTGCTTATGTATGGATGTGAATGGGTCCTCTATTTTGCTTGATGATAGAAATAAATATACATAAACAAATAAATATTGCAAATGTTATATAATCTTTCATATAAGTTTATTTCATTATAAGCTAATTACTGTAATAACTCTTACAATTTAGTAAATGCATGAGCTTCTGGTTATGGATGATTGATACGAACTTGTGAAGCATCACAAGACTTTGACACTTCTTATTCCTGTTAAAAAAATGATTGGTTAACATCATTTAGTTGTTGGATTATTATAAGCTATGTAAAACAATTTTTTTTAGCATTTTAATACTGGAACAATTTTTACCTCTATAAGTTTTGATTTTTGCCATCGGCTAACACCAATTCCAGAGTCGAACCCGTTTTGATTGTATATTGTCGTTATGAATGCAGGATCAGAACCTAGACTCACCATGCGATTTTGTAAGGCCGCACATCGCTTAGATATGCAAATTAAACAACCATGGAGACATTATACAGTTTTTTTGCTGTATGTAAAAGGTAAATTTTTTCTTGATGAGCTGCTTTGTTTTTGCATATATTGACAGGTTATTTATAGGAGATTGTAGATGTTTATGGTTAGGTTTGATTGAAAAGCGAGAAAATCTTGGTGATCAAGTTCAAAATCTCGGAAATCTTGTAATTCAAAATTAATGCTAATTATTATAATTTACTGCATAATAATATGAGAATTAGGCATATTTTCTAAATATGGTACAAAGCATTATTGTAAACGAAGGATGAAGTAAGGAATATGCCATTTGATAGATGGATTGTTATAATTAGTATATATTTTGCTTTAAATTCGGGATTGTAGCTATCACATGAAAGAATATGCCTAATATTACTGCCGGTTAAATCTAAGGCAATATCCTATAGGAAACAAATGTTAAATGCAATTAATTCTCTACCATTATTATAGAAAACAAAATTCCGTTTGTTATAACTACTTATATATGTTTGGTTTATTAACAAAATAAATGATTAAATGTCATTTGGATTTTTTGTAGGAAAGTCTCAAATAAGGAAGGATCTGATTCAAAATAATTCGGGTCAAAATAGGAAGGATCTGATTAATGCGGGACCTTTAGACATTGTTAGGATTTGGTTGTTTAGGGAAGTTGCATATATAGTGAAAGATAATATATTGCCGAAATCTTTGCATTTTTTTTTGGCAAGTATCATGAGGTGGATCCGCAATGTTTAATTGAGTCGGGTCAAAAAAAAAAATTTCGGGTCAAAATTTTAAAAATACCCGACCCGATTTGGGTACCCCAAAAACTGCTGCAAAAATGTATAGTAGATGTGAATTCGGATCCTGGATCGGGTTTAGAAACATCAAACCGGGTCAACTTAATGGATATTGGGCTTTTCCATATGGGCCAAGCTTATGCATGTGGGAATTATAGGCATCCAATACTTAATAAGGGTTATGTAAAAGCTTATGCATCAGTAACCTATGTCTCATTGCTTATTTTTCATTTTTTTTTAACCGCAGTTTTCAGTTTTCTTTTTGTGTTTTTTATTTCCTGAAATTATTTCCAATATAAAGCCGATCAGAAAAAACTATTAGAAACGGAAAAAATACCTCTAAACTATTGTTGTGACTAAGAAAAACTAGAAATTTCAAGTTCACAAAAAAATAATTTGAAAACACAAAAATGTGTGTTTTCGCATCACTCTATATTTCTGAATGAATGCATATATACATAACATACATATTTAAATATAAAACAAAAAAGTAATAACTAAAAAGAAAAATTGTTTGCAAAGATGTCTAATAAAAGTATCAGTAAGCATCTCTTTGAAAAAGTTCATCTTCAACCACGATATCTTACAGTTATATTAAAAAGTTTTTACCATTTCTTACGATTGAGCACTGAATCGTTGTAGAGATTTCTTGTAGACATCCATATTTGTTCTCACAAACAAATCATTCGTGATAAAGATTTCTTGTAGACATCCATATTTGTTCTCATAAACAAATCATTCAAACACTATTACACACAAGTGTGTTTGTGGTTCATATTTTGATTTATTTTCCACTATAAGAAATGAAAGATATTAAAAGCAAAAGTAATTCATTGACATTTATGTCCAAATACAAACAGAGGTTTTGATTGTCAAATAGAAACAAAGAACATGTCTCAATTTTTAAACTAGGATATAAATAAAACAAACAAAGTTTTATATTTATTTGCTTTAACCATGTATTTGATGGATGTCCTATAAGTATAAGCTATAACTACGATTTAACTAGGATCGCATATGCGTTGCAATATTTTTTAACTTCTGTTTTGTCAAAAACTACCCAAAAATTTCTCGTTATTACTACCTTATTTATCTCGTACCAAATTGTCATTACTAAAATTAGGATCCTAAATTGGATCCTAAAGACACAAACCGAGTCAGCTAAATTAATATTGGTTTATCCCGTATGGGCTCTAATTACATTTTTTTTGGAAACTAATTATTAATTAAGTATGAGAAACGAAAAGAATATAAACTAAACGATCGTGACTCATAAAATTAAAATTGGTGAAGTCATGTTGGTCGTCAAAATGTGGTAGGAGTAGTAGACTAAAATCTACCTTCCTTTGTAACGCATTGCACAGTCAATCGAGCAATTTAACCAAAATCAGAAAAAAATTTAGCAATATAATTTGCTTTTGTGCAACACTAATATGAAACTGCAAAATTCAAAAGTGACACCAAATCGGACCAATCTGACTGGTTCGAAATTGCTTCAATAACATTAGAGCAATTAGACAATTGTCCTCTGGAGAATTTTTTTGTTGATTTATGTTTTGTTAAATGCTTTTTTTTTGGTTTTTTTTCTCATAAGTGTTGCATTTTTTTTTGGTTAAAAGATAACTTTAGCTTATCGTGAATGGCAATATTATCATTTGTGATAGGACAAGAATATAAAATATATTGATGAAGAAAGAAAATAGAAATCTATATTCACGACAATTCATTTTCAATTACGGATATAGTAAAAATGGTTTATTATGACAATAAATATAAAAACAAAAAACAAAATGTGTTGGTCAGCCTAAAAATGTGTGTGGTGTGGATAATATATAAAATATTAAATACCAATACTATCAAAAATTTATAATAATTTCTCACGACAACAAAAACACCGCCACGAGACGAGCCAAACTATAGATTGGGATTTGGGAGGTGATTGATGATCAATTCCGGACAACGGAAGAAACCATACTAATAGACTCGACGACGGCGGTTACGGCGGAGTAGAGAACCGTTGGAAACATGGCGATGAGAGACCTTGTTAACGGCGGAGCCGCTTGTGCCGTTCCCGGTTCTTCTTCTTCTTCTAATCCTCTCGGAGCTCTCACCAACGCTCTACTTGGTTCGTCTTCCAAAACCCAGGTTAGCTTCCTGATTCCTTTGTGATCAAAACCGTGGTGAAATTGAAGTCTCCTGATTCAATTCGTCGCCTTTTCCTTGGTTCTCCTGGAACTCACAAGTCGAAATAGATCTCATTTTTCTGTGGGGTTTTGTTATTTGCTTGCCAAGTTTCGATTTTTCTTTCCGTAGTGTTAGGGTTTTAGACGTCCTTATCGCAGAGCATACATAATTCGTTTTTAGACAGTTATGATTATAATTTGTTTAAAGGTTTGAATTTTCTGAGAATTTGAAGAAATTTTGATGATTGGTGATTTGTTGTTGTGCAGGAAAGGCTTAAGGAGATACCTAATGCTAACCGTTCAGGTCCTGGCCCACAATTTTACTCTGAAGACCAACAGATAAGGTCACTTCCTGGTTCTGAGTTAGATCAGCCAGGTCTGCAACCGGGTGCTCAGGTTAATGTGGTGGAAAGTTTTGGTTTTTACAATGGTAGTATTGAATCTGCTTTTCTAGCCTCTGTGATGGCTGATGGGTTTACCAATTTTTGCATCAGGGTTCAGAGTTCTTCCGTGGTTTCCGCTCTGTAGATCAGAATGGTCTGGGTGCGGCTTGGGATGAGGTACATCAAGGTGGACCTATGCCTCCAATGGGACCTATGTATGAGCCAGTTCAGCCTACATTTGAAGGTTTGTGATTTGATCTCTACCACTTTTATTTAATGCCAGATACAAAACGGATAGATATCGTGGTTTTGATATTGAATAAATGGTGGTATCTTTTTCTCCCATTCATCATTCAATTGGGAAGTACATAACATTGTTTTCGTAGGAAGAGAAGCTAACAGTGAAAGTGTGTGTTAGTAATTTAGTATAGCGACATGAAATAAATAATGTGGTCATTTTAAAAAGCAACGTCTTCTCCATGCACTCTTATTTCTCCCGGATGGCGCGTTGAATATTTTATAGCTCTGTCTTAGTTATATAGCCTAATGTCGAGCGAGGCATTCTCTTGTGCTTGCTTGATTTGTTTTTTACATTGCTTATATATTACAGGACCCCCACAGAGAGTTTTATCAAACTTTCTGCATTCATTTGTTGAGAGTAGCCGTGGTGGTATTCCATTTCGTCCAGCACCTGTTCCAGTTCTGGGATTATCGCAAAGTGACAAACAATGTATACGTGATCGTAGTAGCATAATGGCCCGGCATTTTTTTGCTGATAGGGGAGAGGAATTTATCAATTCTCAGGTTTGCTGTTTATCTGATAGTTTTCCATAGCTGCATCATTGTGTTATATTCCTTCAACTTAGGTTTTAAGGGTCGAGTATATATGTTTAATATTTGGTGTTATATCATTAATTCCCATCGCCTTTTTGAAAGAAAGATCTATATATAACGTAAGAACAATAATGTTCATGTCCACTCTCTCCTTCATGTACATCAAAATGTAACATTTTGGAATGGCAACGAGGTAGCACTGTCACTATCATATATATCACAATCATCTGTGGGTCAGGGCTTTTTGGGGATTTATTGCTGTTGTTTTACTTGGTTATTCTTCCTATTTAGTAAGGATTTTCTCGAAACCATGCCAGCTGTGCAGTATGGTTAAGCCTTTTTACGTTGCCGCTGGCCTAAGCCTTTTTCTCTTCTCCTTTAATGTGTGTTTGCTGCTTCTCTTCTCCATGTCATTGGCTGAATATTTTGTTCTACGTTATTTTTCAAGGTAAACGCATTATTATCATCTTTAGATATCGACGATGGGATACAAGCTCGAGGTCATGTTCCCAGGAGATTTCGGGAGCTAGATGATTACTGGAATGAGTCTCAAGCTATTGTGAAACCTAATTTACATCCTGCTGACAATTGGGCGGCTGAATTTAACCAACATGGGATGGATCACGGTGGTCCTGATTCATGGGTCCAGTCTTTTGAGCAACAACATGGTGTGAATGGGTGGGCCACTGAGTTTGAGCAGGTAGTTTCTAGCATAAACAGTTATATGATGGAAAAAATTTCCTTCAGTACTTTCTTGAAACGTCTCTTTGATTGTCCATGCCAAACATATGTTTGATAAGCTTTCAATGAGGATCATAGAAATATCTAAGGCATTTATTTTGGTAGAGTGTAGGCTTTGATTCAGATAGTCCCTAGGGCATAGTTGCTCAAAAGCCTGAATCGGTTGTGACTTTTTTTATGCGGTATTAGTCATCAGTGTTTGACTCGCATTTGATTTGCCAACAACTTGGCTCTCTGATAATTTATGTTTTTCTGAAAATATTTAGTGCCTCATCTTTTTTATTTTCCTTAACTTTTTAAAGGGTCAATCTCAATTGATGTCAAACCAAATGAGAAGTATGGATATGCAAAATATAGCTGCAATGGAGCAGACTCGTAAGCTTGCCCATACACTATCTCAGGATGGGAATCCGAAATTTCAGGTCAGTGTAATCTACCATTAATAATTATGTTATTTCAAAGTGAATTCCTTCATTTCTAAACACCCTTTGATAGTAGTATCAGGCGGTCGGGTTACAGTAAACTTTACTGTTGGACGACATATCTCTTTTATGGGCTGTGATCTTCTACTGCGCATAGAAAATGTTTTTGTTGGGCTTATATGTTCGTTTATGTTCTACTCTGAAATTATATCACAAATTTTAATTGTGCTTTTCCTCTTGACTTCATGTGCTGAGCTGTTCTCTTGAGATTTATGCAAAATCTTGGCAAAATGTTTCGTGAATGCAGAATTCAAGATTCCTCCAATTTGTTTCAAAGATGAGCCGTGGTG